TCCTCCCCCCCCACGTCTTAAGGTCCCCTAGCCTAATTCTGCTGACCACAAATTTTATGCTATTTATTCGTATATTTTATGCTATTTAATCGTATATTAATATTTAGTTATTTATTATTTTATCTAAATTATCTTGTTGTGTCCTTACTTAGTGGTTTTATTACTGCTATTTTATAATTGATACTTGAATAAAGTTCATCTTCATCATCATCATTCCCATGTTCTCAAGCTTTATTGAAGGGCTATTGAATTTTCGTTTAAGGCAAGCGTCTTGTTAATGATAAGTCAATTGTGCACAAGTACCTTGAATGCCAAAAAGTTCTTGGAGAAAGGCCTGCTTGGGGAACTATTAAATTTACTGCTTTTGGGCGCAGATGACGACATAAAGAAGGAAGCGGTGTTTTGCCTGAATAAGGTTTGTCGCACGTCTCTTGTAAATGTGATTCTATGGTTGTCATTTTTTAGCTTTAAAATATTTTGAGGGCGAATGCTTTACAACGACCACAGGGGAACTATGCACGAATGAAACTGAAGCGAAGCGCGAAGGGTGGGTCGGGAAGCTGTATCGGACGGTTATTGGATTCTTCAGTGGTTAGTATCTCCCCGCACGAAGCAATCTCCTGATGTTTTTATAAGATTTTTAAAACTAACACGCTTTGAACGTGATGCTTCAAGCGGAAATGGCGACTTTCGAAACTCGTAAAAGCTACACATGGATGAGTGGGTGTTCTTGAGTAACTGATCTCAGATGAGTAACTGATCTCAGATGAGTAACTGATCTCAAATGACAAGCGTGAAACTCCTGGGTTACGGAGTAGCGCTAGACAGGTCTAGACACAGAAAAACAGGCTAAAATGCATGTTATTTCTCAACCACAGGTAGTCGAGAAGACAGAACACGTCGAACTCTGGTTGGATGTGATGACCAAAACAGGAACAGAAGTACTATTTGGATTGCTTTCCTCGCAGGATCCTTTACAATACACGATCCTAACAGCAATCAAGAATCTTTCTGCGCATCCCAAAATGGCACAGATCCTCATTCAGTATGGACTCGAAGGGGTTACGCAGCTGTTACCGAGCAAGGTAAGTGAACCTTTGATTTACCGCCTCCCGGTTAGCTCAATGGATAGAGCGCTGGACTGTTGTGCGGGAGGTCAAGGGTTCGAGCCCCGGCCGGACCAACACTCAGGGTCTT